TAGTCGGGGCGGGGGGAGGCACTAGGGCTTTGAATAAAGATAAGCTTAACTGATTTGGCTATCTACCAACTTAGGCTTTAGGTTCACCAAGAGATCCAGATGTACTAAGGGAATAACAGATTCATTCGTCTGTTTCTTAACGTTTACAAAACCACTTTGCTTAGTGTCAGTTCACTTTATTGATTCCATCAGTGATTCTGCTTATCACATCAGAAATTTGAGTGCTGACATTTTTATCCTATAAAATAGTTTCCAGATAGATATCACATGATTTTCATGAAGTGACAAACTTGTCCATGAGAAATGAGGCAAGATAAAGATTTTCCCCAACAAAAGCAGAGGGAGTTCATCACCACTAGATCTACTTTACCAAAAAAAAAAAAAAAAAAATGCTAAAGGGAGTTCTTCAAGCTGCAATGGAAGGATGTTTGAATAGTAATCTAGAAACATATGAAGAATATAAAACACACTGGCAAAGGCAATTATATAGTCAAATTCAGAATACTCTATGATAGTGTGTTAATCACTTAACTCTAGTAGAAAAGTTAAAGGAGAAAAGTATTAAAAATAATGTTACAATAATTTGTTAGTGGATACACAATGTAAAAAGGTAAATTGTGATAACAAAAACATAAAATGGGCAGGAGTAGAAGGGTAGAGTATATACCATTGAAATTAAGTTAACAACTTAAAATAGATATGTTTTATGTTAAACTCATGGTAACTAGAAAGCAAAAACCTACAGAAGATACCCAAAAGATAAAAAGAAAGTAATCAAAGCATGCCATTATGGAAAATAATCAATTTACAAACAAAGTCAGGAAGAGAAGAAGAAATGAATGAAAAAACTACATAACAGCCAAAAAATAATAGGCTGGCACCAGCAAGTCCTTACTTATCAAGTCTTTACCTATTACTTTAAATGAAAATGGATTAAATTCTCATATCGAAAGGCACAGAGTGGCTGAATGGATTTTAAAAAAGACCCAACTATATGCTGCCCATAGGACACTCAATTCAGCTTTAAGGACACACAGGCTAAAAGTGAAGGAATGGAAAAAGATGTGCCATGCACTTGGAAACCAGAAGAGAACAAGGGTAGCTGTACTTAGAGCAGATGAAATATACTTTAAGACAAAAACTGTAATAAAAGACAAAGAAAGTCATTATAAAATGGTCAAAGTGATAATCCACCAAGAAAATACAACATTTATAAATATAGATGCACCCAACAGCAAAGCACCTAAATACGTTAAGAAAACACTAACATCTGAAGGGAGAAATAGACAGTGTATGTTAATAGTCGGGGACTTCAACACCACTTTTGACAATGAGTGGATCATGACAAAACCTTTCAATACATTGGGTATAGAAGGAATGTACCTCAACATAATAATGTTATCTTACTGTCATACATATGGCATATATATATGGCAAGCCATCACAGTCAGTGATGAAAGGTTGAAAGCTTTTACCTTAAGATCAAGAAGAAGACAAGGGTGCCCACTGTCACGATTCCTATTCAACATAGTACTGGAAGTTCTAGACAGAGTATTTAGGCAAGACAAAGAAATAAAAGGCATCCAAATTGAAAGAAGTAAAATTGTCTCTATTTGAAGATGATATGATCTTATACATAGACAATCCTGAAGACTCCATGAAAGGGCTGTTAGAACTAATAAACGAATTTCATAAAGTTGCAGGATACAAATCAAATTAGACAATTTCTTGAATTCACATACACTAACAATGAACTATCTAAAAAATAAATAAAGAAAACAATTCCATTTACGATAACATCAAAAAGAATAAAATATTAGGAATAAATTTAACCAAGGAGGTGAAAGAAATGATATTAATATTAATAAGATATTAATGAAAGAAACCAAAGAAGACATAAATAAATGGAAAGGTGTCTTGTGTTTATGGCTTGGAAGAATTGATATTGTTAATATGTACAAACTACCCAAAGTGTTCTACATATTCAATGCAATTCCTATCAAATTTCCAATGGCATTTTTCACAGAAATAGAATAAACAGTCCTAAAATTAATGTGGAACTGCAAAAAACCTCAAATAGCCAAAGCAAGCTTGAGAAAGAACACATCCTGATTTCAAACTATATTACAAAGCTATAGTAATCAAAACAGTATAGTACTGGCATAAAAATAGACAAACCAATGGAACAGAATCGAGAGTGCAGAAATAAACCATGTGTATACTGTCAACTAATTTTTGACAAGGGAGCCAAGAATAGTCAATGGGGAAAGGACAATCTCTTTAATAAATGGTGTTGGGAAAACTAGATATTAATATGCAAAAGAATGAAATTGTACCCTAACTTACACCATACCCAAAAATTAACTCAAGATGAATGAAAGGCTCAAATGTGAGACTTGAAACCATAAAACTTTTACAGGAAAACATAGGGAAAAAGCTCCTTGATGTTGGTCTTCGCAATGGTTTTTTTTTTTTTGGATAAAGAAAAAAAGCACCGGAAAAAAGCACAAGTGACAAGCAAAAATAAACCAGTAGAACTATATCAAATTAAAAGCTTCTCTACAGCAAAGAAATAGTCAACAAAATGAAAAATCAACGTAAGGAACAGGAGAAAATATTTGCAAACTATTTATCTGATAAGTAGTTAATGTCTAAAATAAATAAGGAACTCATAAAACTTAGTAGCAAAAAAAAATCCAATTTAAAAATGTGCGGAGGGCCTGAGTATACATTTTCCCAAAGATAACATACGAATGCCCAACAGATACATGAGAAGATCTCAACATCATTAATCATCAGATCAAAACTACAATAAGATGGCATCTCAGAATGACCATTATCAAAAATACAATGGATCACAAGTGTTGGAGAAGATGTGGAGAAAAGGGAACCCTGGACCACTGGTGAAAACATATGGAAGTTCCTCAAAAAATTAAAACTACAACTATAATGTGATACAGCAATTCCACTTTTGGGTATATCCAAAGGAAATGAAATCGTATCTTGAAGAGATATCTGCACCCACATGTTCACTGCAGCATTATTCACAATAGCCAAGGCATGGAAACAACCTAAATGTCCATTATTAGATGATTGGATAAAACACACACCCACACACACACACACACACACACACACACACACACAAGGAATATTATTCAGCCATATAAAAGAAGTAAATTTTACCATTTGCAACAACATGGATGGACCATAAGGGGATTATGCTAAGTGAGATAGACAAAGAAAGACATACTGTATGATCTTACATAAGTGTGGAATCTTTAAAAAAGCTGAACTCTTGGAAACAGGAGAATAGTGGTTGTGAGGGTCTGGGGTTTGGGGGAAATGGTGAGATATTGCTTCCAATTTTAAAATGAATAAATTCTGAGGATCTTTCATTGTCAATAGTGTATTACATGCTTGCAAGTTGCTAAGAGAGTAAATCTTAAATGTTCTTACCACATACACTCAAAAAGGTAATTATGTGAGTTTATGGAGGTTTTAACTCACCTAATTGTGGTAATCATTTTGTGACATATACCTGTCTTGAATCATCATATTGTATACTTTAAACTTGCACTATGTTATTTGAAAAAAAGAAAACAACAACAACAACAACAATTCCACTCCTAGGTATATACTACAGGAAAATGAAAACTTATATCCACAAAAAAATTGTACATGGATGTTCATAGCAACATTATTTCTAATAGCCAAAAAGTGGGATCAATCTAAATGTTCCTCAACTTATGACTGGATAAAATGTGATATATCCATACAATGGAATATTATTTGGCAATAAAAAGGAATGAAGTACTAATACATGCTACAATATGAATGAGTTAGAAATGTTCAGCTAAGTGAAAGAAGCCAGACCCTAAAGACCAGATGTTGTATGATTCCATTTATATGAAAAGTCTATTTAAGGCGGATCCATACGGACAGAAAGTAGATTATTGATTGCCTACACCTGGGAGTGGGAATGGGTAAGAACTTTTTGCGGGGTTGATAGAAATTTTCAGAAATTAGATTTTGATAATGCTTCAACAACTGTGTAAGTAGACTAACAACCATTGAATTGCATAATTTTAATAGGTGAAATATATGGTTTGTAGATCCATAATGAGGCAGAGAATTGCTGAAGGAGGCAGGCATGGAATATAAGGAAACTCTTTTTTTCAAGATGGGAGAGATTTGTGTAGATGATATAGGTAGGATAAGGGGGAAAAAACCAGAATGGAGAGAAAAATAATACGCCGAAGAGGAATAATAAAGCTAGCAAGGCATAGACAACATCTATAAGACTCAGATCAGAATTAATTTTGGAGGAGAGCAAACTTCCTTCTTTCTGAGGCAAAATATGGAAATGAACTCGTAGATTGATGAGAAAAAAGGAAGAAAAGTGAGACTATTCGTATCTAAGGGCCTATGATTTTCTGAGTCACATAGAAGGAGAAGTAACATGTTCGATGAATTTGGTAACTTCAGAATGGTGACGGTTCAGACAACAAATGTAGAGTAAGAAAGCAAGCTGATTTTATGAGTAAAAGGCTTTCGAAGCCATTAGGGCTTAGCTAAGTGTAAATCAAAAATTGTAAAGCATTTAATCATCAAGGTTACATACATATTTTTTTCTGCCAGCATCTTTAGCTTTCCATGAAATAGAAGCAGAAAAAGTTTGATGGATTAACTGCCTGTAAAACTGTATTTGAACTGGGTAGAGCACAGGTTCCTGCTAAGGTTGGATGTAAAAGCACTGATTTATTCAGATATAAACCACTCAAACACTTTGGAATATGGTTATCACAAGCTTACTGACAAATTTCAAGATGAAAATATAGCTTAGAAAAAGCATTTCAATTCATTAATCAAGATTAGACTTAAGTCATTGAAATTGGGTGTTAAAGCTTACTGAGCCTCTCTGGCATCTTAGAAGTGATGGTAAGCATGATAATGGTCCTTATCAAAGGGAAATCTCAAAAAAACGAAGTGCCACTTACCGTCTGGAGTAGTGCTTTCTCATGCAGCACATCTGAATACATGGATGATTGCTGGGTATGCATATTTCTGGGTCCTTTCTCACAACCACTGTGAATTACACTCTAGAGTACAGCCCAAACATTCTATATTTTTAACGAAGTATAAATGTGATGTTGATGTTAGGATGGTGACATTTGTCTAACCTGGTAAGAATTTAAGCTGAAAATGGCGATGGTGGGAAAAAGATCAAACAATTTTTTTAAAAAAGGGGTATAGTCTTTAATGATATGGCAAAAAGCTTAAGTTCCAGAAAGATTGGACTCCATTATTTGGTATGATTACTTAAGTAAGTCAAACCTTTTCCTCAAATACATTAATTGGTAATTCCAAGTTAAGTGGGTGTTTTTATATAATGCGTGGGAAAGAGCGCCATACACATGTGAAAGAAAGATAATAACCAGATCTCACTGGATAGTAAATGTCTGTCAAAAGTTATTGCTCTTTCTCTGCCTAAAGGAGGATAAGGTTGTACACTAAAGCCCTTAATTACCTTGCCTTACAGGACCAGATTCAGGGAATGTCAAATTCTTATCATCTGTTCACAATGCCAAAACGACCTGAAACGCGACTATTAATGCTTTATTTTACAAAACTGGTCTCCTAATCCCTTCTAAACGGCATTTTATCTGGATCGGTTTTATTTTAACGACGACTGCAATTTTACCTTAAAATTAACCTTCCCGTCTTCCTCCTTTCCACTCCGCCCCTCAAAATTACAAGCTCCAAAAGTTTCACGTGGATTATGCGCCTCCTGCTAATACAAACACATACACCCCCACACAGAAACTTTTGACACTGCCCATCGAGGCCCCCAAATGCTTCAACAAAGCCTCCCTTGGGGTCTTTTCACTTCCAGCTTCGCCCTCAGGGCCAAGGCTCGGCCTCCACTGCGTTCCCCAGCAGTCCTGAAAGTCCGGTTGGGTCCGACGGGGCGGGGCGGGCCTGCTCCATTGGAGGCTGGCGGGGGGGAGCGAGTAGGACCCGTCCACCTTGCCTAAAAGCCGCTAACTAGTCGACCCTGTACCTGTTCTAGCAAGAATGTACCTACTTCACTAGCTAAGTTTTGCCTCGATTGGACTTTGGCAGCGACAAGAAAAACTTTTCAAAACTTTTGTCCAGCTTTTGCTCCCCCGCGCGTCCTTTCCTGATGGTTCGCCCCGGAGCCACGCCGGGGACGCCCTGTCCCCATCCTTGCCTCTTGAGAGGCGCGCGGAGCCCCCGCCCCCGTGTCGGGTTGGACCGGCCCACGGGCGCGCACGGAGTGGCCGCTGCCGCGGAAACCGTCG